CATCCAATTTAGGCAGAAAGAACCAGCAACAGTTACTGCTTCACTAGTCTCATTTTCACAAAAGTATGGTCCTATGATGACCCCAGCCCAAAATTCCCATCAAACAGTGACACGAGGTGGGTGCACTTGTTTTTCGACAATCACACGTGGGTTCCTCGAACCCTAAATATGACAATCAACAAAGCCGTCAAGGTTAAAAAGTGCTTCATCCCTTAGGATGATTTAGCTCGAAAAATCAGCATCCACTGGTTGATGTCCAATAATTATTGGACAACAAATTTTAGTTTTTTAATTGTATCTTGTGGGAAAAGTGCACTTCTTTGTTAATTTTGGGGCGCTGAATCCAAAAATGACAATGAAATAAAAAAATTAGTTGCGGTTTAGAAAAAAACTTTTTATTTTTAAGGATATATTAAAAATAGTAACAAGATTCATATACTTATAAGAATCACTATATGCGCTGTGTTTTTGTTGTTCTTTTCTGGATCGTTTCTGGAGCATCTCTACCAAGAGTCCAACAGTAGTCTGCAAGAATGGAAGGATTCCACTTTCCCTGGTACCTTTTTTCCATTGTTGAAATATCCTGATGAACACGTTCGCCGTGCTCATCACTTACGGCTCCGCAATTGTCAGGAAAAAAGTCCAGGTGTGAGTGTACGAAATTTATCTTAAGAGACATATTACAGCCCATCTTTTGATACGATGACAGCATATTTTTAACAAGGGTTTTATAGTTGTCAGCTTTTCTATTTCCCAAGAAATTTGTGACCACCAGACGGAAATCATTCCAAGCAGTTTTTTCAATACCTGTGGCCCAACAAAAATACCTTCTTTAACCTTTGCCTCACTTAGTCTTGGAAATTTCTGACGCAGGTATTGAAAAGCTGACTAGGCCCAACTTGATATGCAGTGGTGGTAATAAATTTTTTTTCGAATCTACTAATGGCATATGCTGTACATTTTTTTGAACTGGCTCTAGCAATTCACGAACAGGCCAGTTTTGTCAGGTGTAATGAAGTGCCTTTGCCCGACTGTCCCATTCACACAAAAACAACAAAACTTTGTGTAGCCTAGCTGCAGCCCAAGTAAAATCACCACAAATATGCCATTGGTGCTCATCGTATTTTATGCATGTCAATAGGTACTTCATATTGTCATATGATTCTTTCATGTGAACTGCATACCCTACAGGAAGAGATGGTAAAATATTTCCAATATGCAATAACACTGCCTTTAAACTCAATGTTGAACTGTCTATATATATACATCGACGCGGGCGAGTGCCCTACTGGGGTATTTTGTGATCTCAGTAGGGCATTCGACTGCGTTGATCACAACAAATTCTTGGAGATTGTTGTTAAATATGGTTTTGTCGGTCAGTCTCTTAAATGGGCCAGATCGTTTTTAGTCCAAAGAAAACAATATGTTTCACTAGAATATCTTGATGCAGGGAACAATATGAAAAACTTTGAGTCAAGTACGTTAGACATTTCGATTGGAGTCCCTCAGGGCTCTATTCTTGGACCAATCTTTTTCCTCTTATACATTAATCGGTTTGATAGTGTTCATCCAGATACCCATTTTACAGCATATGCTGATGACGTTTCTGCGATAATATCAAGTAATTCAAATATAATTTTGAAAGATAAATGTAACAACTTAATTAGGAATATCAATACATGGTTTAACCAGTACTCACTTTACTTGAATCCTTCCAAAACAACGCTTATTCGTTTTCATCACGCTCAAAAAACTGTAGAAGGGTTTCAAGTTAGATTGGGTGACGATCAACTCGATTTTAGAGGAGAAGTGAAATTTCTTGGAGTTCATTTTGATTCGAACTTAAATTGGAAGGCCCACTGCGAATTTCTCACATCAAAATGTACTCTCAAAGCTATGTGTTGAGGCAATTAAAAACCATCTTAACAGCTGAACAATTGATACAAGTTTATTTTGCTAATGTGGATTCGAGATTAAGATATGGAGTATGTTTCTGGGGTTGGTCAACGCGCTCTGAAGATGTATTTGTGTCTCAAAAAGATGCATCCGATCATTAGCAGGCATCTCACCAACAGAAAGTTGCAAGAAATATTTTATAACTTTCAACATTTTAACTGTCCCTTCGTTGTATATATATGAATTGTGCTTACATGTTTTTAAAAATTATGAAAAATTCAAGCGAAATTGTGATATGCATAATTATGATACAAGGACTTGTAATAATTTATATGTAAACTTTAGCAAATCAAAAGCGGCATTTCGATCACCTAATAAAATTGGTCCGCTTCTTTTAATAATTTACCATGCCACATTACCTCGGTTAAAAATATTAACGCCTTTAAGTTCCTGTTGAAGGAATTTTTGATAAACAAGTGCTTTTATCGTGTTGATGAATTTTTGAACATAGCAATTGAGATTAGTTGTAGGTTCGTAGCGAACGAAAAATTGACAATTCCAATACAATTATATATTGTCTGTATGGAAATAAAGGTTATTGATTGATTGATTGATTGATATAAACAATCTCCATTCTTCTGGGTTATAGTTTATATTTAAAGCCGCCAGTAAGCCGTTAATGTTACTGCAGAAAACCAAGTTATTCTCCATATTGAAAAATGGTTCTCTTTGTGGCGTTTACGAAAAACACATACCGAAATATCGTCTTCTAACAAGTGCCACTGCTGCAGTCTTGGTCCAAGTAACTCTGCCTTACATTTTGGAAGTTCTAATTCTCTTACAAGATCATTAATTCTGACTGTGTTATTTTGTGCGGTTGGTGGCATGAGGTGCTTGGTATAAAATCACTATCTCTTGACGTTGATGGCATATCTTCTTCCTGACGAATCACTCGATCGCTATGATCTGATTCGTTTTCTGATTCGCAAGTGTAGGATTCTGGGGGTTTTGGAATAGGATTTTCGTCACTGTGAGGCACAGGTCTCATTGCAGATGCTATGTTTGGGTAGTTAATAACCGATTTTTTTTCTTGGACATACCTGTGGCTTGTCCAACACAAGGTACCATGCAAAAGTAACAATCATTCATATGATTTGTAGGCTCTCTCCAAACCATTGGGACAGCAAAGCGCATAGACCGTTTTTTGCCATTTAAGCAGCTCCTCAGACTTGAAGCACATGTATTACAGCAGATGTGGGGTGCCCACTGTTTGTCTTGATCACCTAGTGTACAAGCGAAATAAAGCTGATATGCCTTTGTTATTAGTGGAGTAATAGACCGTCTCTGAGACGCAAAAGTCACATCACCACACACGTAACGAAACTGATCTGGATTGTTTACCACTTTCGAGACATCTGTATAAACGCTGTCAGCCAACTGAGGAAAAAATGGCTAAAATAAAACAATATAATGTA